GATGCTGTCTGTAACTTGCATGGTTAAACATAGTTGGATTATCTACTTCTTAAAATCCTTCTTCCTCACTGGGATTCAGTTCCCATATCACCCGTACATTTTGCAGTTGTGCTGTGTACGCCATGGTCTGGGCCTTCAGTATGTATGAGGAAGAACAAGAAGGCCTAATAATAACCTCTGGGGGATCCTACTTCCTCTATGCCAAAGATCAACCCTTCACCATTACTCTGTTTCCCGTCACCCAGACAGTTTCATATCCACGATGCTACTGTCACATTTATTCCATGAGCTTTAACGTTGTTCACACATCTATTTTGCAGCAATGTCTTGTGAAATGTCATCCATGTATCCTCATCAACCTTTTCTGTTTCTTCATCAAAAATATCAAGCAACTTAGTTAAACACAATTTCACCTGAACAAATCTGTTCTACCTTTGCTTCATTAACTCACATCTGGCAAAAATATCAGTTATAATCCTGTGCTGAATTTTTATTGGCAACTTTTTCCCCACAACAGACGTTAAACTGCAGCTGCCAAATTTATCTTTATACCTTGTTTTGAATGACAGTGTAACATTAACAATTCTCCAGTCCTCTGACCTCACTCCTATATCGAAGGGAAATTGGGAAGTTATGGCCAGTGCTTCTCCAATTTCTCCTGTCTGTATCCTTAGATGCAGCTCTACCAGTCTGGCTATCTTGTCAAACTTTGAGAAGTAAAGGTAACTTTTCCAACATATCCTCCTTATCAAGTGTCTGAACTACCTTCTCTTGCATTATGATCTGGGGAAAACCTTCCTCCTTGGTAAAGATAGATGTATTCACTTAATACTTCTGCCGTGCCCCTTCCTCAAAGTGTAAATATCTTTAATGGTGCTAAATATGCTCCACTCCTCCTGTTAGCAATCTTTTACTATATACATGCCAATTGAATACATTTTGATCCCCTTTTATATAAGAGCATGAGAACTAGGAGCGGGAGGAGGCCATTCAGCCCCTCAAACCTGCTCTGCTATTTAATTCAATCGTGACTGACCTCATTTCGGCTTTAACTTCACTTTCCTGCCCACTCCCCATAAACCTTCAACCCATTACTAATTAAAAATCTCCTCCTTCCATTTATTTATTTAGTACCCCAGGATCCACCGCACTCTGGGAGAGTGAATTTGACAGATCCATGACCCTTTGAGAGAAGTAATTTCTCCTCATCTCTGTTTTAATTCTGCCATCCATTATGCTAAGACTATGACCTAGATTGCCAACAGGAGGAAACGTCCATTCTGTGGCTACTTTCTCAATCCCCTTTAGCATCTTATACACCTCAATTAGATCTCCTACAATTCTGTACCTCAGTACATTTGTATCTAAGATGGCACCTTAAGTGGGACCTGGTAAATTTTTCACGTATTCATTTGAGTACATGCCACAATAGACCTAACTGAATTCAATTCAATTCCTAACATTCCTCTAAACTCCAGGAAGCCTAGACACAAACTGCTCAATGTGTATTCATTTCATCTCTGGAATCAATCTAGCAAATCTCCTCTAAACATCCTCCAATCCAAACACATCCTCCTCAAGTTAAGGGGACCAAAACTGTACACAATACTTCATGTGCCAGTCTCTTCTCATATTCTCTCTTTGTTTCCCTCATTTACTTGTCCAGTTCTCTCCTCCTCTGTGGGACGTGGGCATCGTTGGCTGAGCCAGCATTTATTAAGGTGGTGATGAGCCACTTCTTGAACCACTGCAGTCCACCTGCTGTGGGTTGACCCACAATGCCATTAGGGAGGGAATTGACCCAGCAACAGTGAAGGAACGGCGATATATTTCCAAGTCAGGGATGGTGAGTGGCTTGGAGGCGAACTTCAAGGTGGTGGTGTTCCTATATATCTGCTGCCCTTGTCCTTCTAGATGGAAGTGGTCGTGGGTTTGGAAGGTGCTGTCTGAGGATCTTTGGTGAATTTCTGCAGTGCATCTTGTAGATAGTACACACTGCTGTTACTGAGCGTCGGTGGTGGAGGGAGTGGATGCTTGTGGATGTGGTGCCAATCAATAATGTTCTACATTCAATCTAATCTTTAATTGTAATTTCTGCCTGATGTCTGTCGAATGCGCATCTTTTTTGCTACTTCATCCTTATCTCCTTTGTCATCAAGGGAGCCTGAATTTGTTTGCCCTACCTTTCCCGTTTGTGGGAATAAACCTTGACTGCACTTGAATGAATTATCACACCTTTTAAAGACAGCCCATTGTTTGAGGTGATGTATGACCTATTTCTGATCCTGCTTCTTATGCTTGTAGATATATCTACCTCTTTGACCAAGTACTTGATCACCTGCCCCAACATGTCTGACGCCTTTTCAAATATTTTCTTCTCTGAAAGAAGCTTTGGAATATGTTACTATGTTAAAAGTGCTATCTAAATACAAGTTGTTTTTCCAGTCCAACGTCTTCAACGTATGTGCAGGCACAATGGGCCTGAATGGCCTCCTTCTGCACTGTAACCATTCTGTGATAGATTCCAGTGGGATGGTGACATTGACCTGAGTCCTCATCCCATTCTGCTTGCTCCATAGTGACTAAACTTTGGGGTATCCAATTGGACCGTGGGCCAATGGCCAAGGAGAGCTCCCTCTTTAAAGGGGGGCCATGTACATGGTTTGGATGAATTGTTGCTTTCATGAAAATATTCTATTTATCTCGGTTAAAATCCATCTGCCGTTCCTTTTGTTCATCCATTCAGTTAGCCTTTCTCTTCCATGCTTATAATTGTGCCACAGAGCTTGGTGTCAAACACAGACTCCACTGGCAAATATGATTTGATTTGATTTATTGTTGTTACGTGGACTTAGGGACAGTCAAAAGTTTTGTTTCGCATGCAGTACAGTCAGATCATACCATACAAAGATCATCGGCTGACTGAACAAAGCAAGGAATACAAAGTTATGGCTACAGAATGACAGAATTCGAATTGAGGTTTAAAAGTGCAGAACAATTGTAAGCAATATGAGAATAAGATCTGCTGTAGAGAGCTTGCAAACTGTTGCCCTGTGTCGGTGCCATTTTAAATCCAATTGCAGTTGAACACATTACCACATGGAGTTTTATGAGGCAAGTGGCATAAATGCATTTAAGCACATGAGGGAGAAAGAAATAGAGGGTTATATTGCTGGTATAGGAGTCTGGTGTGGAGCAAGATATAACGTTGGGGGTTTTGAACTCATGGCATATAGGTTTTGGTTTGTGCCTATGGTTTGGTTTAATCATTAACTTGTCAGGCCTTCTGGAGCCATGATTTTTTTTAAAGTGTGAGATAAGTAGTTCCTGGAGTGTAACGGGATTTTGTTTGCATTGGAAGAGTTTTTTACAATCACAGTGTTAACAGTGCAATCCATTAGGCTGCCAATTAGAAGGACTCAGTTTTTTTTTGTTGCTCAGGGGAAACGCCTCTAGATTGGAAAGCCTTTTGCTTTCTGTTTGTAGAAGTCCTAGTAGACGTTATATGTGTAAAACAGTTTCGCCTGAGGAATGGAGATGGTTTAGAGCTGTTAAGAAATACGTTGTTTGAGCGTTAAGAGTTTATTTTTAAAGTTCCTGATCAGAAGTGTTTTTTTAGAACTCTGAAGAAATTATTTGAAGCTGTGAAAGTCTAATCTCAGTTACGTGGATATTCCAGGAAGAAGCTATCAACCTTGCAAGGCAGGGAACAGAAAACCACAGTTAAGTCAAACCTTATAGATAGGAGGGAGAAGGAAATTCTCTAGTGCTTGAATGCTACAAAAGGGTGCAGTTGAAATAAATGGAGTATTCTATTTTAATGTGTTTCAAATTCTTGAGAAACACAGGGACAAGTTTAGGCCATTCAGCACATTGAGCCTGCCTCACCATTCAACATGATGATGGCTGATTGAACAATTTAATGCCATTTACGCACCCTATCCTCATCATCCTGTGCATCACTGATAATCAACAATCTGTACACCTTTACTTTAAACATACTCAAAAAAGGAGCTTCCACAGTTCCTTGAGGCAGGGAATTTCAAACATTCGCAAACCTCTGAGAAAAATTTCTCTACATCTCAAAACTACATGGACTTTCCCTTACTTTTAAATTGTGCCCCCTTGTTTTAGACTCCCTGCCCAGGAGAAATATCTTTGCTTCTGAGGAAGGGGCACCGGACCCGAAACATTAACTCTGATTTCTTCTTCACTGATGCTGCCAGACCTGCTGAGCTTTTCCAGCAACTTCTGCTTTTGTTCCTGATTTACAGCATCCACAGTTCTTTCAGTTTTTATTTAGGAGAAACATCTTGTTTGTATCTACCCTGTCTAGCTCTTTAAGTATTTTGTGTTATATGTAAATAGCTTGGTTCATTCAAATTTATCTTCTTTTCTTTTATGTAATAAACTTCCATTTCATTGTTAAAACCAGATCTGCAGCATTGCATGCCAGTGTTTCAGTGAAAGACCACCTTGGTAAATTTAAAGAGAAAACATGATATGATCTATCAAGCCAGATTTCAGCCTGGGATCTGATTTGTCCATTAGTAACATTAGTTGTGATCACAACAGGAGCATTGGCCAGCTGGGCTAATTTGACCTGTGTCTATGCTGTGGCTTCTGTGTTCTTCAATACAATCACAGCTAGGGACAAGAATAGGCCATTCAGCCCTTCAAACCTGTCCCACCATTTAATTAGAAAATGATTGCCTTTTTTTCAGTCCAAAGATGTGCAGGCTAAGTGGATTGGCCATGCTAAATTGCCCGTATTGTTCAGGGATGTGTAGATTAGGTGGGTTATGGGGGGATGGGTCTGTGGGATGCTGTGAGGTTCGGTGTGGACTTGTTGGGCTGAAGGGCCTGTTTCCACACTGTAGGGATTCTATGATTCTATGATTTTTCCTCCATCTAGTTCTTGTTCTGTCTGAAATGTTACGCCAATTAGCCATATTGTAGACGATTGTTTGAATTATTCTCTCTCTCTTCTCAAACACAAGGGCCCAGAAGAAGACCACATCTGTGTCCCTGACAATAGGATCCCCTCACTCAAAGGGAGCAGCAGGTTCCAATGAAGTGCAGCAAGTCTGCTCTACGCTGGTTCAATCCATCTCCATCCCAGCCCCACAGGTACAGTGAGCAACAGAACAAGTAGTGTTCATTGTGAGCGAGCTTCCTGTGTGTCTTCTCGTTGACTATTGCCTGTTTTATATTTTTTATTCACTGATAAAAATTTTGTCCATGTGTGTGTTTGTGTATATGTATGCACATGTGTGTGTGTGACTGCATATGTATTTGTGCATGTGTGTGTGTCTGTCTGTCTCAATGGTAGGTCCTGTTAGTTGTGCACTTAGTTGGGGTGGAGTGCTGTACTGTTGGAGAAAGGCTGTCTTTCAGATGAGATGTTACACTGACATCTCATCTACCTTAACAAAAACAAAGTTGCTGGAAAAGCTCAGCAGGTCTGGCAGCATCTGTGAAGGAGAAAACAGAGTTAACGTTTCAGATCTGGTGACCCTTCCTCAGAACTGATGGTGGCTGGGAAAACGTCAGTTTACATGCAGAGAATAGGGAGGTGGGTGGGGTAGGGAGTAAGTGACAGGATAGAGCCCAAAGAGAGAGAAAGACAGTTGGACAGACAAAGGAGTTGCTAACGATCAGGCTGGGAGGGTGAGTAGTTGTTAATGGGGACTGTTAGGGACTAACAACAGGGAGTATGTAATGGCAGGCTATGTGGTAACAAGGCCTGGTGTGTGGGGTAGGGGGCTGGGACATGGGAACATCTACGTTCTGCTCGCAAAAAAAACCCTGAACTACCTGTTGCCTGCCACTTCAATGCACCACCTTGCTCCCTGGCCAACATCTCTGTCTCTGGCTTGCTACAGTGTTCCAGTGAAGCCCAACACAAGCTGGAAGAACAACACCTCATTTTCCATTTGGGGAGCCTACAGCCCTCTGGACTCAGTATTGAGTTCAATAATTTTAGGGCCTAAACTCTCCCATGTCCCAGCCCCCCACCCCACACACCAGGCCTTGTTACCACATAGCCTGCCATTACACACCCCCTGTTGTTAGTCACTGACAGTCCCCATTAACAACTATTCACCCTCCCAGCCTGATCGTTAGCAACTCCTTTGTCTGTCCAACTGTCTTTCTCTCTCTTTGGGCTCTATCCTATCGTTTACTCCCTACCCCACCCACCTCCCTATTTTCTGCATATAAACTGATGTTTTCCCAGCTACCATCAGTTCTGAGGAAGGGTCACCGGACCCGAAACGTTAACTCTGTTTTCTCCTCCACAGATGCTGCCAGACCTGCTGAGCTTTTCCAGCAACTTTGTTTTTGTTCCTGATTTACAGCATCTGCTGTTCTTTTGGTTTTTATCTCATCTACCTTCTCAGGCTATGGTAAAAGGTCCCAGGCCACTGTTTGGAAGAATACCTTGGGAGTTCAGCCTACTGTCCTGACCAGTATTTGTCTCTCAGTTAACATCACATAAAAGGAAAGATGGCCTGGACAGTAATCACCTTGCTTTTCATGGAACCTTGGTATGTGTAAATTGGCTGCCACCCTTTCAACACTGGAGCAGTGACCAGTCTTTCTATTTATAATATTGTCTGCAAAGCATTTTGAGACATCCTCGGGCTGTTAAAGGTGCTACATCAATGAAAATTTATCCTCTTCAGCTGACTGTGATGCACATTTTCAGGTTTTAGCTGTATACGGAAGTGTATCCATAAGATCTCATTATGAGGCTCGGCAAACTGACTTAATGACTTAATTGAGGTGTACAAAATAATGAAGGGCCTGGAGTGGAGAAAGAAGACTTGTTTCTGCTCCTGGAGAGGTCACCCAAGAACACTGGTTTAAGGTGACCATATAAGGAAAGAATCTTTTCACCCAGTTTGATGTTTGAGGAGAAATCCTCAACACATTTGTAAGGAGATCTCAGTTATCTGTAAGAATAACAGCGTGATAATGGCAGGGGATTTTAATTTTCCAAATATAGACTGGGACTGCCATAGTGTTAAGGGCTTAGATCGAGAGGAATTTGCTAAGGGTGTACAAGTAATTTTCTGATTCGGTATGTGGATGTACCTACTAGATAAGGTGCAAAACTTGACCGACTCTTGGGAAGTAAGGCGGGGCAAGTGACTGAGGTATCGGGGGGAGCCCTTTGGGACCAATGACCATAATTCTATTAGTTTCTAAACAGTGATGGAAAAGGGTAGCCATGATCTAGGAGATAAAGTTCTAAATTGGAGGAAGGCAGATTTAGATTGTATTACCAAGAAATTTCAAAAGTTGATTGTGGCGGATATTCTTTTTTCTATTCATTTGTGGGATGTGGACGTCGCTGGCTGGCCAGCATTTCTTGCCCATCCCTAGTTGCCCTTGAGAAGGTGGTGGTGAGCTTCCCCCTTGAACCGCTGCAGTTCTCCTGCTGTGGACTGAACCACAATGCCATTAGGGAGGGAATTCCAGGATTTTGACCCAGCGACAGTGAAGAAACGGCAACATACTTCCAAGTCAGGATGGTGAGTGGCTTGGAGGGGAACTTGGAGGTGGTGGTGTTCCCATATGTCTGCTGCCCTTGTCCTTCGAGATGGAAGTGGTCATGGATTTGGAAGGTGCTGTCTGAGGATCGTTGGTCAATTTCAGCAGTGCATCTTGTAAATAGTACACACTGCTGCTACTGAGCATCGGTGGTGGAGGGAGTGAATGCTTGTGGATGTGGTGCCAATCAAGCGGGCTGCTTTGTCCTGGATGGTGTCAAGCTTCTTGAGTGTTGTTACAGCTGCACCCATGCAGGCAAGTGGAGAGTATTCCATCACACTCCTGACTTGTGCCTTGTAGATGGTGGACAGGCTTTGAGGAGTCAGGAGGTGAGTTACTTCCGGTAATATTTCTAGCTTCTGGCCTGCTCTTGTAACCGCTGTGTTTATGTGGACAAAGACGAGATAAAAAAAAGTCCAGAGACAGTGCGTTTCTGTTAGAGTGAAGGGCAAGGCTGGTATGTGCAAGGAATGCTGGATAATTAGAGAAATGCAGGTTCTGGTCAAGAAAAAGAAGGGAACATATGTCAGGTAAAGACAGTAGAGTTCGAGTGAATTCCCTAGAAGAGTATAAGGGCTGTAGGAGTATACTCAAGTGGGAAATCAGGAGGGCAAAATGGGGACGTGAGATAGCTTTGGCAAATAGGTTAAGGAAAATTCAAAGGGATTCTACAAATACATTAAGGACGAAAGAGTATCAAGGGAGAGAATAGGACCCCTTAAAGATCAGCAAGGCCGCCTATGTGTGGAACTGCAGGAGATGGGGGAGATACTAAACAAGTATTTTGCATCTGTGTTTGCTGTGGAGAAGGATATGGAAGATAGAGAACTCGAGGAAATAAATAGTGATATCTTGAAAATTGTCCATATAACAGAGGAGGAGGTGCTGGACATCTTAAAATGCATAAGGTAGATAAATCCCCAGAACCTGAACAGGTATACCCCAGAACTCTGTGGGAAGCTGGAGATGTAATTGATGAACCCCTTGCTGAGATATTTGCGTCATTGATAGCCAAAGTGAGGTGCTGGAAGACTGGAGGTTGGCTAACGTAGTGCCACTATTTAAGAAGGGTGGTAAGGAAAAGCCAGGGAACTATGGACCAGTTAGCCTGACACCATTGGTGAGCAAGTTGTTGGCATGGATAGGGTGAACAGCCAAATTCTTTTCCCCAGGATAGCGGGGTCCAAAACTCGAGGGCATAGGTTTAAGGGAAAGATATAAAAGGGACCTGAGAGGTAACTTTTTCACATGGAGAGTGTTGTATGCATGGAATGAGCTGCCAGAGGAAGTGGTGGAGGCTGGTACAATTACAACATTTAAAAGGCATCGGGATGGGTTAGGAAGGGTTTAGCGGCATATGAGCCAAATGCTGGCAAATGGGACTAGATTCATTTAGGATATCTGGTCGGCATGGACCTCTATGACTCTATGTCATTTAAAAGGTGCCTGGACCTGCTCCTGAAACTGCATAGACTGCAAGGATAGGGACCAAGTGCTGAAAAGTGGATTTAGAACAGATGGCTAGCTTATTCTTCCACTGCTGAGATGTGATGGGCTGAATGGTCTCTTCCTGTGATTGATTGATTTATTGTCATGTGTACCGAAATACAGTGAAAGGTTTTGTTTACGAGCGGTACAGGCAGATCACAGCAAGCAAAGGATTTACAAATCAAAAAGACATACGGGTTACATTGCAAGTTACATTATTTGAGGCTGGAGTCCATTCAACAGTCTGATAATGGCCAGAAAGAAGCTGTTCCTGAATGATTGTGCGTGTGTTCAGGCTTCTGTATCTTCTGCCTGACAGAAGAGGTTGTAGGAGGTCATTACCAGGGTGTGATGGGTCTTTGATGATGTTGGCTGTCTTTCCGCGGCAGCGAGCTGTGTAAGTGGAGTCCATGGATGGAAGGTTGCCTTCCGTGATGTTCTGGGCTGTGCACACCACCTTCTGTAGTTTCTTACAGTCCTGGGCAGAGCAGTTGCCAGACCAGGACATTATGCACCCGGACAGTATGCTTTTAGTGGTGCATCTGTAGAAGTTGGTGAGGGACCTTACGGACATACCAAATTTCCTGAGCTGCCTGAGGAAGAAGAGACGTTGTTGTGCCTTCCTGACTTGCATTTATGTGGGAAATCCAGGACAGGTCATCGGCTATCGTCGTTCCGAGGAACTTGATCTCTTTACTCTCTCATCTCAGTTCCGTTGATGTAGATGGGCGTGTGTTGTCCTCCTTTCTTTCTGAAGTTGATGATCAATTCTTTAGTTTTGCTGACATTGAGAGACAGATTGTTTTCATTGTACCATGTCACCAAGCCCTCTGTCTCCCTTTTGTATTTTGACTCATCATTGTTAGATATCCGTCCCACTGCAGTGGTGGCGTCAGTGAACTTGTAGATGGCGTTCTTTCGGAATTTGGTAACACAGTCGTAGGTGTACAGGGAATACAGTAGGGGCCTGGGGACGCAACCTTTGGGGGCCTCCAGTGTTGAGTGTTATTGTGGAGTTTTCAAAGATTTTCTATCCTATCTAGTTGTCCCACATCAAAGTTTTTAGACTTGGCAATGTTTGCCAA